AAGAAATAACTGCAAGACCATGATATAAAGGGGGAGAGCTGGGAATTGCTGTGGCTAGCTGTGCTCAGTAGCAAACAGATTAGCCTATTTTAGCGCAGACAGTTACCCGTATGAAGATACACGACTTTTAACTTTGTGTCAAAAACCGTTAATTTTCTACAAGTAGAATAACTTTTGTTTCTTTGTCTAAAATCTGTACGGAAGTCATTTTAAAGATGTTCTAATTGTCCTCCTCTGCCCACAGACCTTAAAAAGAAGAAGCACTGAAACTTACTGCATTACCTGCGTCCAGAGCTCAGTCTGGACGCAATCATGCTTGGTCTTGCCTTCAAGACTTAGCATGATTGTTTTTTACTTTAGGTCGCCAAAGAAATATAAAATAAAAGCAATAATAGGTAATAAAAGTTAAGAATCCTTAAAAAACTGGTGGAATATAGTTTGAGTCTGAGTGTGTTGCCATATGGTGATGTCATCACCAGCAAGGCCCCAAGGAGATCTGGTACCTACACCGTCATCTGGTAAGGATTTCTCCTGGACGCTTACTTCATGAGGTGTGCAAGTCAAATCCGACCGGGAGGAGACCCAGAGGAAGACCCAGAACACGCTGGAGGGACTTGTGCTGAGTTCAATGTCAGGGGCTGCATGCTCTAAAGGCCAAATTCGTAGGCCGATTACGTCATAGCGGGGCGCCAAGGTCTGTTGGGATGGCAAGACTCCTATGTGGCCGACAAATGCATCCTTCTTTTTGCTCGTTTTCAAGGGCGGGACCCGGTGTATCCTACGCATCCTTGGGTATCCCATGATTCTTTGCAAGTCCAAGCAAGCTGGTTGCTCCATGATCAGAGGAAAAAGGTACTTGGCATCAAACAGTGGTGAATATTGGAAGTGCAGTTTAATATAATACTAGTCTGCGAATAGTTCCGTCTGAAATGAGAGACAATCATTGTTTTAATAGTTATGGAGTGGCGGTAATGTTTGATTTATCTAAAGGTTTCTATCTGTCCCTGTGTAAATGGGTCTGGCTGACATTTAAAGACAGATTCTAATATTTTTGTAATGTGGGGACTATAAATATGATGTTATTATCATCCAGAACAGCAGTGGGAAGTAATGGAGAGCTATTGCCACTGGATGATTTAAATCATGAATATGATGCCTAATTCTCATCCCAGGAATCCATCCATCCATTTTCTGTCACACTTATCCTAAGCAGGGTCATGGGGGTGCAGGTGTCTATCTCCAGCTGTCTACAGATGAGAGGCGGGGTTCACCCTGGACAGGTCGCCAGTCCATCGCAGGGCAACATGGAGACAAACAGGGCAAACAGCCATTCACACACACCCACACCTAAGGAGGATGTAGAGCAGCCAATTAACCTAACAGTCATCTTTTTGGACTGTTGGAGGAAGCCGGAGTACCTGGAGAGAACCCACCCATGCTCAGGGAGAACATGCAAAGTGCATGCAGGGCTGGGAGTTGAACCCAAAACCTTCTTCCTGCAAGGCAGCAGTGCCACCCACTGTTCCACTGAGCAGCCCCCATCTCAGGGAAATGGACAAAATATAAATTACAACCCAAAATCAGTGATCTATTTAGTTCAAGGTTGCCTCAGTAAAATTCCATTTCCTAAACTTAAACATAAATTCACTGAAGAATTGATATAATATACCAAAAATGCAAAATATCTTAAGAAAAGTATCACAAATATATTATTTCCTAATCCAATTAAACGACTTTAGCTTTTAAAAGAATCCTTCAAATATGATATCCATGCATTGAGAACCAAATATCTTAAATATGATATTCTGCCTAAATATTAATTTTAGAACTTTAAATGACATTTATCCTTCCGACCAGTTCATATGCTCCAGATTTAAATTCACTGTAGACAAATGTTGTCTATGTGAGCAAGAAGACGAATTAACTGAATATTTTTTTATTGTAGTAAAACCCAACATTTTTATCCTCAGTTCATAACTGGTTGCTCTATAAATACTAAAACATAACTTTTCTCTCTCTGTTGGCAATGAAATTTGAAATTATTGCCCACGATAAACTAATACAATTTTTAATTAATGGTATAATTATTATGGTCAAAATTTTCATACACTAATATCTGCATGCTTCATACATTTCTTTTAAATCTATTACGGTATATTAAACATTTCCTTAATCTTCTTAAATTCCACCTCGTGTAATTTATTTCTATTTGACACTTTTGAAAATCTAATATAACATTTTCTATTTAGTTTTCCTCACACTGATCACATTTTCATTAAGTGTTTTCTTAAAAAGTGAACCCTTTAGTGTGTCTAAATCTTAACCTTGTTATCACCCTTTCCTCCTTGCTCTTCCTTCTCCCATCTTTTATTTCCTAACTGATTTTTTGATCCTATAAAACCATTTCCCTTTACTCTGTCTATCCGTTCGTTTCTGCCATTCGTTCCTAAATTTGTTTGATAAAACTCTTTGATCTCGATTTACAGATATGCACTATCAAATCTATAGGGTTGCAATTTTAATACCTGCCTTTTTATTTTCCAGTATGTGCTGGTATCCATTAGCCTGACATAGTCCGACTCAATTCTAGTCAGAATGAGTCTGATGCTGCTCCATAGAGCTGTGATTATGGGGCGTGTTTTGAACGAACCAGGAAAAAAAATGCCTCTGCACTCAATTGGATAGACCTACAACCAATAAGAGCAACGGAGTGCGTGACGTATGTTAAGCGAGGCATAGCTGTTGTCCACAAAAATCAAAGCGTGCAGTTGCACGCCTAGAATAAGAAGATGAGCCTTGATCGCGTTTCTCTGTTCCTCTTTTAAAATTAATTTGCTGTCGATATCTTCTAGAACAGACCTAATAGCAGAATCTACTCACCTCAACTCTCCAGCGGCAGCCATTGTTGTTGTCACCCAAGCGCGCTTTGGTCACGTGGTTGATTACGTTACTGTTGGTCATCTGTCCATCATCGTATAAAGCCCGCCCTGACAATTTGATTGGATCGCCTGACAGTGGGCGATCATACTCTCGCTACTATGGAGCAGAGCCAGACCGAACTTCCCGACCTCAAACTTTGTGGGCGGGACTAAGTTCGGAATGGCACCCAGGCTAGGTATCCATATAAATACCACTGTTAAACCAATCTTTTGTAATTTGAATAATGTCAGCCAAATTTCTAATAGCATATCTGGTCTGCTGTCTGAATGATTGCATTTTAAAATCGTCAATACGGAGCTTAAATCTTAGCAAATTATTATGAAGTGTTTAATGTCCTCCACCCACTAAACTACAACAAAACTGCCAAAAATGATCCTGTGTAAACAGACAAACCATAATGGATTTGTTTTCCACTCTATACTTGAAATCCTGGTACTATTATTAGGCCACTCCTACTTTTTCCTTTGCTGTTGATGCGTCTGTATAGAATTAACTGATGATAACTCTCTATATAATCTTGAATAAAGAAGTTTGTTGATGTTTTTTTTGCCTTTTGGTGAGTGGAGGAGTGAATAGAATAAAAGTATTGCTTAAGTTCAATTAAGTAAACATTAAAGTCTGGCTTTTTATTTTACATTTGTATGGAAGCCCGTTTCTGCCACATTAAAGTAAAGAAATGCCAAATAAAAATTCTTAAGTATGAGATTTAAACTCATAATTATGAGATTCAAAGTCATCATTTCCACTTTGAAGGTCATAATTATGAGATACCAAATTCAAAAGTCGAATATCATAATTTTGACTTTGTAACACATAATTATGACTTTGAATGTCGAAATGGTGACTTTGTAACTTAAAAAATAATAACTTTAAATCCTAATTATCCTAATTAATTATGAGAATTAAGACTTTCTATTTTCTATTTTTTACTTCCATGTGGCAGAAATGGGCTTCCATACTTATCAATCTCTTAAGTGCCTCTTATCAAAATTTCCCTTGCATAAATTCAAATGTATGGAAGCCTGTTTCCTCCACATGAAAGTAAAACATGCCAAATGTCGAATATCATAATTACGACTTTGTATCTCATAATCATGACTTTGAAAGTCAAAATTATGTCTTCGTATCCCATAAATATCACTTTCTATCAGGCATTTTTACTATCATGTGGCGGAAACAGGATTCCATACAGGCTTCCATACATTTGAATTCATGCAAGGGAAATTTTTGACAAAATAGTTAAGAGATTTAAAGTATGGAACCCTGTTTCTGCGACGTGAAAGTAAAAAATGCCAAATAGAAAGTCATAATCATGACATCTAAAGTCAAAATTTTGAGTTACAAAGTCATAATTTTGTCTTTCAAAGTCATGGTTTTGTGCCGATGTGTTTTTTTGGCCCCGATACCGATACCTGGCTGTGCAGTATCGGCCGATACCGATACCATCTGTTTGAAATTGATGTGTGTGTATCTATGAAGAACTGCAGACTACCTGGATGTAATATAATCACCATCATGGCTTCAAGCTGCTGCCTTCCTTTGTGAAGCAGGAAAAAGACTAAAACAAAGTTAATCCAGTAGAACTTGTATTGCCTACCTGGAATGGGCGACAATAGTTGAAGAAACTTTTGGATCTCAAAATGTTATTAGTGCCTTATTTGTTGGTACTGGCACCATTTTAGTGCTGGATCGGGGCCCCACCCGATACTGGTATCGGTATCACTGCAACACTAGTCATAGTTATGATATTCGATTTTCACGTTTTTTTCATCTCATAATTATTACTTTGTATGTCATGATGATGACTTTCTATTTGGCATTTCTTTACTTTCATGTAGTAGAAATGGGCTTCCACAGATAAGAAGCATTTCAGGTAACATTTCACTTTGCAGAGAAAAACCAAATTGAATGTTTCCCCCTAGAAGTTGAACATATTTTAAAATATTTGAATCCACATAGTTATTCGAAGAAATTTATATCTACAGGTAGATTTTCAGTTTAACGTCATTTTTGTTTTCCCTTACGCTGCCTTTCCCGTTGGTGACGTAATGACGCTGGGCTGCAGGTTTACGTGATCTGCTCGTTTACGGTAGTGGTAGAAAGCTTCGAAGGGCGAGCTTTTAACAGCCTAGCTGGTTTGGAAAGTTTAAAGACTTGTTAAAAACCAAGCAGCTAAGTTTCGTGTCTGCAGATCCAGGGTTTCACCATCACACCGACTAACTGGGACGGTGGAGTTTAGCTGCTTTGCCAGCTAGTAGCCATATTTTTTTTATTTCCTGGAACAGAGACGGAGTATTTATCTTCTCCAGGTTAGTGTGACCCTTAGACGTGAAAATAGTTTGCGGTTGTGTGTCTTTTAACGTATTGCTGTATTTAAAGGCTCCCCCGGTCTGCGGTAGTTAGCCCCAGAGCTAGCCAGGCTGCTAGCCTGCTTTCCACCAGTCGCTGCTAACCAACTTGACCTGTTTAGGAAGTTGTTTGCTAACCGTGTCTCTGAGCAGCTGCTGAGTTTATCATTGTTTGGTTGTAAGATGGGAACTTTGTTAACCCTGTGAATCCAGACTAGTCCGGCTTGAGGGTGGAGGTGGTGAGGAGGTGGTGAGGAGGTGATGAGGAGGTGGTGAGGAGGCCCCAACAGTCCAGTTGTTTCCTCCTTACTGCAGACGCAGCAGTTGTCAATCAGAGGATCTCATGTCCTCAAAGCAGGACAGCTAACCAGCTTTTCTAACGCAGGCTACAACCAGACTTTAGTTACTGGGAATTTCTATTGTTTAAATCAACATGGTGACAGAAATAAAGCATTTAAAACACTCTGGATCTCCCCAAACCCCCATTTGCGTCTCTAGATAAAATGAAGCTAATTTAACAATAATCAGAGGTGTCAAAACTGTTAATATTTATTACTCAACTAGTATAAATCCTACTGTTTAAAAACACTTTTGTAGAAGTTAGAGGATCAACTTAAGGTTTTTACTTCAGTAAAAGTGTAAAAGTTACATTTTTAAAACTACTTAAAGTATAAAAGTGGTGCATGAAAAATGTTAAATAAAGAAGCTTTACTGCTCTACCCTATTAAAGCAACATTTTTCTAATGAATAATAACTTCCTTAGACCTAATTTTCTGAGTTTTATAACTAATGCCGTCAAATTTTACTTTTCATCCTCTTGAAAAACTGTTTATTTTTCTATGTGGTGAGCAACAAGTTGGGGCAGCACCGAGTCAAACCACAAAGAAATGACTTGTCTGAATGAATTTTGAAGGTTTTTATTTTTTTTAAATACCAACAGGCAATAATGAAAATGAGCTTAAATGGAACAAAACTGAGTGTATTTTTAAAATGTTGAAGGGAAAAGTTTGTCTCATGCTACGTTCAGACTGCAGGCAGCAGAAGCAGCTGGCTTACAGACGCAGTTAATGGTTGACGTGCATCAAGGCGCAGGAAATTGTCCTGCAGAGCTTTTTTCAGCAGCAGAAGCAGAGCGTCATGAGCTCCTAAAGCTCGGGATGCGATGTTGGAAAGATGGAACTTTAGCTGCTGGACATCAACCAATGAGAGC